TGCTTTCCCAAAACAGCGTTGAAAATACATGCACTGTGTTTAGTAATTATTTATATTATGGACCATGTATTTTACTTATTTATCTTAAATAATCGTGGTGTGTATAATTGATTTTTGATATTGAAGATAATCAAATAAAAAATGGTAGATAAATCTGCTAAATTAAATACGATACGTAATTTTAAGCCGGATACTAAAGCTGTAACAGTCATTTAAAAAACTGCTTTGTTCACCGACCTCAGAAGCCAATTTTCTAATACGATCCCGGATACTAAAGCTGTAACAGCCATTCGAAAACAAACTTCTTTGCACACCGTCCCAACCGTTTACCGTCAAATGACCAAGAAACAGAAAATAATTAAGCCAATCATTTCGTTGAATGATACAAATTTGTTTCCCCGATAACTAACAGAGGAATTTGTATCTTATGGTCAGGGTCAACCGTCACATACCTGACATCCATTGTAATAATCAATCATCATACTAATAAGAACAACATGATACAAATAATTTCAATGACAATAACCATTTTAATATTCCTATTAAAAAGATCAACAAAGTTCTTGCGGCAATGAGCCTAGAAAGACATCAAACAGGACAAGACACACGGGCAATCCACCCCCCCCCCCCAAAAAAAAAAAAAAAGAAAGAAAAAACCAAAACAGACAAAAAAAGAACAAACCCAAAGAACTGGACGGGTGTCATCATAGATTGAATAAATAAGAATCCCTAAAGATTGCACAAAAAGGTAAAATTGAAAATGTTGCAGGCTAAGGATAAGGATAAGGTTGAAGACTACTTAAGTCGAATTTGTTAACGATGTGTATGAAACATTTATTGCATCATAATCACAACATATAGGAGAATACACTTGGATAATACAAATTATTATATAAGCACAATCTTTTCAACGTCTTTTCTGTATATACATTAGTACGCTTGCTAATGTTCGGATTATAGTCAAATTGTCTCGAAAGCCAATGTTTAACGATAATTTTCAAGGTGATTATTTTAGATATGCACGAATGGTAGCAATGCATACATTTCTAATTTGACGCTAGAATAATTCACAAATCAATAATTGTGTTGCTCGAAAAATATGTTAAATGATCAAGAAGAAAAGAAAATTAAATTCTCAAATATAAAGGAAATATTTGCCTAAATTATTCAGCTGTTATTCGGAATTCTCCAATGAAAAATATTAGGCAAGAAGTGGCTTAATTGAATTCGGGAAAGAATATCTGCTGAACTGTGACTTTATACGTTAAACATGTTCAACATACAATTGACTCAATTTTGTTATTTCCACCACTTTTTGTTTACTACAAAACAAGTTTATTATAAAGAGACACAACAAAAGTTTTTAAATGCTATTTAAATGCAAACATCATTGTCAATGAATAGATGAAAATAGTGTATATACTTATATATGCAACTTATTTTTACTTTTGTAACAGATCTTAAAGACAGAACAACAACTGTACTAGTAAAAAACTTACAAAAACAACAAACATTAACTATCATCATAAGTTTACATTGCGTAAAAACATTAAATAATTTAATTCAGCTCTTAACATACAGTAACTAAACACCAAGCTCATGCATCTCTATCGAGAAATGGGACATTGTCAAGGAGGCACGGAGACCACCAGCATGGACACTAAACTCGGCAGTAAGATAATTAATAAGATTCCGAGAGTCTGATTGAAGAAAAGAGAACGACAAAACAAAGACTTCTTCAATCTAGGACTAGAGAACATAAAAGAGTAATACAATAAATAGCAGAAGGAGTTGACAAGAAAAAGTACTAGTATATACATGTTCAATGGCTATTATCAACTTGCCACTTAAGTCTGACAGAGAAAGATGATTAGAGAAACATATGCAATTGAATACAGGTAGAACACTATCTTGAAAAAGATGCTCTGTATACAAACCGATCAAGTCAAAAGACTGTAAAGTTAAATCCAAACCAGGTGGTCAAGAGGATGATTTAGCGAGCACTTTAGCGAGGAATTCCATATCAAGACAGATAAAGGTAATTAGAAGACCACAAACAATGAAATATTGGTTATACATCATCTTGAAATAGAGGCTCTTTATATAAACGGATCACGTTTAAAGACGTTTACTTAATGTTAAATGCAAACCAGATGGTCAAATGGAAAAAATTAGCGTGCACTTTAGCGAGGAATTACATATCAAGACAGATAAAGGTAATTAGAAGAACATATACAATGTAATATAGTTATACACCATCTTGAAATAGAGGCTCTTTATATAAACCGATCACGTTTAAAGACTTTAAAGTTAAATGCAAACCAGATGGTCAAATGGAAAAATTTAGCGTGCACTTTAGCGAGGAATTACATATCAAGACAGATAAAGGTAATTAGAAGAACATATACAATGTAATATAGTTATACACCATCTTGAAATAGAGGCTCTTTATATAAACCGATCACGTTTAAAGACTTTAAAGTTAAATGCAAACCAGATGGTCAAATGGAAAAAATAGCAAGTACTTTAGCGAGAAGTTGCACATCAAGAATCTAGATCAGAATGCAAGTTTTAAATTTACTGATAAAACATATGGTTTTTATTTTAAAGGTATTAAAAGGTCTTATACTGACTTGAATTTTTTTTTACAATTTAAACAATTTCTATTGTCCGATGACCTATTGACACAGAATCTGTTACATAATATAAATTGTTAAAGTTATACAAATTATATTCTGTTGGTCTTGTTCTAGTTTTTTTTTTCTTCTTCAAAAATTTTGTTTTTATGCCAAGTGAGACGTTAATTGGACATACTTTAAATTTGTTTATTAGCATAAAGAAATTGTCATTTTAATTCGCATAAAAAATGTTTGCTCTGAGTACACCTCGAGATGTTTTTACGGTAGGTATCAAATTGATATTACATTAATGTATTATTTCCCTTGTATGAAATACGGTTTGCAATAGAATTTTAACTTTATTCCACATTATGATAATCCGGCCTGGGCAAAAAAGTATTAACAGTAGCATCTTTCCTCATATAATTATGTTGTTATTATAAAGTTTTCCTATTTCAGATATTTTAACTATAATTCTCTTTTGTATAATTTAAGTTTTGATAACCTTTTTTAATTTTATACAAATATGTGTTTGGAAAATTATTTTTAAATCATTTAACATAAACATTGAAGATTGTATACTTATACAGAGAAAGAAAGTTATCAGAACGCAGTATTTAATCATATCATGGTTTGAATACTTCAAGTTTAGAATTTTCTTTACAATATCATATTTTTGACTTGATATTGTCCACTTTTTTTCGTACAAAGAAAACTATTTGTTTTAAATTTTTGAAATTTGTTTGAACGTGACATTATGATTGCATGTTTAGGTTCTTCTCAACATCATTGTAGAACGTCTAAGTCCCTTACCGCCGTTAAATCCAGTATGCAGGTGTCCACATGGCCCTGATTCTGCACCAGCGATGACACATGTCCCTCCTGGTGTCACATACAATCCATTCAGGTTAACGAAAGAACATTCTTTATACCACCAGCCCCCGTGTCGACCGACGGCACAATTACGATTTGATGCGGAATCAACGTCACGGTCAAATGTCGAAAACCGTTGCAATTTGTGATAGAGTAAGCCATATGCCGAGTTACCTAAACAGATAATAATAGGTATTATTCTACTTAGCATTAGAGCACATTCACATTCACAAGTTAAAAAAGAACAACAAAAAAAGTCAAAAATATATCTCAAACTCGGGTAAAAATATTGAAAAACAAGCGGACCTGGATAATGAGCATATAATTCTAAAGTCAATATTTCTTTCACTTGCTACCAAATATCGTACGTGAAATTAAATCAAAGGTCTGTTGGAAGCCAAATATTTATATTGAATAATGTAAAGATGTAAAGTACGAATAACTGAAGTAATCGATGCACTACACTATATGTATATGGCGAGACTAATGTCGTTTGTTAACGATAACTTTTTAGCGTAACCAAACGTTTGCAGAATTAAAGGCGCTCTAAATCTCTTATCATTTTGTTTAATTTATTTGACGTGCCCTCTAAAAGTTTCAAAAAATTACTCCTTGGCCAAAAACATGTACCTGAACCATCATTTACATCTGTTGCATTTTGGCTGGCAGTAAAAAAGTGATTTAGTATTTTGAACAGAAGTCGAAATACTACTTTGTTTACATTTTTTGCTACTTTAATGGCAGATAGTTTTCAAATTCGGTCCTACTTTCATCAGGAGATAAGCATTTAAAATGCTATAAAACCTTAATTTAAACCTTATTAAACGCATGTTACAGTTTTTTAAAGAATGAACAATTCTTTTCCAAAGCATTATTTGCCTTTAAATAAAATAAATTAAATAACAAATAATTATCTTGCTCGCATGAACTAAGGTAATTTACAATGCTCGCATGAACTAAGGTAATTTACAACAAATAATTATTCAACAACAACAAGCACATCATCGCCACCAACAGTAACAACTAAAACACATCAAAGAAATTATTAAATGAAAATGAGTGCTAATGAATCTGTTATCGCGTAGATATTTAGATTTGTTTTATAACATTTTCATACTGTCATGGTAATGGAACATATATCTTTTATTCCTTCCATACCTGCAGATCCTTCACGTGACCCAATGTTGAGTTTATAACTTGTTCCATTTGTTAATTTGAAGTCCTGAAAAGTCTTATACCCTGTACCATTATTTTCATTTGTCATGTCTAAACGAACCTCAGAAGTACCCTGTTCAGCTAATTCTTTTATATATTTCAGGCCTGAGAAAACAAAACCGATAAGAAATATAATAATTTAAGGATAATACTGAAGAGTAATAATCTAAAACAAATTCTTGTCATTAAAACTAGAAGTACTTGATGGGCCATAAAGAAAATGAGAAAGACAATTAGTAAATCAGACATGGAATGGCTTATAATCCCTTTCCCTCAATGTGCTCACTTCCAATGTGATACAATCTATTTGTTCAACAGTATGCCTCTGCTGTAAAAGAACCATAGTCTCTTTTTACATATGAAGCTTTAAGTTATTTCTTTCTAACCCTCATACAATGACTAATGTATCAAACGTTTTACCTTAAAAGATATGCTAAAACCTATAATTATATGTAGAAAAGGTATAATTCTTGACACACCTATCCACAACTCTCCTTATGCGTTCCCAAATCCTTTATCATAGTCGGAGAAGTTTCGATAAAAATCAACCGACCCATTCATACGTCTTTGAAATATCTACAAAATAAACCGAAAGAAAGCCCTGAAACACTACAGCTCTACAAATATTATCTCGATGGTTGACCAAACCTTTCATCTTTCCTGGATAATTTAACAGTAATCGCATATTTCTCCATAATTGATCTTTGACTATTAATTCCACATGATTTGTTAAAGTGCTAGAAGAGCTTTGTGAGACAAAGAACCATGACACTCAGTGTCAATCATCAGTTTACACATATCCTCACGAGGATTGAACAAATGACCTAAATAAATAATCAAGTCGTAGATTATATGGGGATTGATAGTAAAAATTGACGAAGTGCCTTTTCTTTGAACCATAGCTATATATATTTACACATGCGAACTTGTTTGCATAAGCTAAAATAATTGTCACGGATGTATATCAATTAAATTTCCTATCACTTATTGTACATAGGCAAGTATATAAATTGAATGATAGAATTGATGATTCGTGATGGAGTATCATTCACCAATTGTGGTATTTTGTCTAGCATCTAAATACTTCATCGATATGACACAAAAGGTTACACAACCGTTTACCATAATATGACGATAACGTATAATAATATTTAAAATACCGTCCATCCGCCTCCTGCAGTTTCCATGTCACAATTTACAGTTAATGTTGTTCCTGATGTCCATAGTTCTATTTCATACAGCCCGGATTTTGCATTAGGGTGCACATCAAGAATTTCTTTGCAGTCAGTTGCTATGTTAAATGAACAAAAGACCTCATAAAATATGTGTTACCTTTCGCTGAATTCAAAAAGAATTTGCCACTGCACAAAATACATCATCATCATCATTGATGTACATCCCCCTCTTGGGTGAATATGGTATCGTTACTACAGGAGCGATATTGTTTGATAATGGGTGTAAATATAAATTAAAACGGAATATAATATGTTTGAAAACAAATAAAACGTTGTAATTCTTAATCTAAGAAACTTGTTTACGCATAAATAAAATTTTATATTGACATAATGTGTCGGTATGGAGTAACGTTGGGTTTGATGAGTAATTTTGGTTATGATAATTGAACGAACTATGTATTGTATGGGCTGTGGCCTGTGCAAAAACAATGGTTATTCAGGGTAAACAAAAAACTTGACGGCAATAAAGAAAAAGTACTTTATATGATTTGTTTGACTAATTGTATAAAATATGGAAGACAACATGAAAACTTTCATTTCTAAGTATACAACAGTACAAATAACTACCGAGCAGTACATCAATTATTTTATTATATTCACCATTTTTACACAACAGTACAATATATGAAACACAAAATCAAGGAAGGACAGCGTTCAATAAACGCAATCCCCACGTGACCTAGTAGCACAGGACCACCGGCAAGCAGCCCAGACAGTATAACTTGATGACAGCAAACTGCTTAATTATTTATAGAAATTACTAGGAAATCAAACACTGTTTTGAAATTATAGCTAATAAGTTCGCCTTCCGACCATTATTGCAGTACTTGTATTTACATAAATTTAATGATTACCTTTGTAACACGCTACTGGTTGCCATTGTCCCGATGCTTGACATTTGACCTCAGCTAGACTAGGAACATATCCAGTGTCACATTTTACCGAAGCAATGTCGAGAAACTTATTTTCATTCAGCATATTAACCTGTATTTTACCGTTGACTATTTTTTGATCCACGTTGCAAGCTAACAAAAAAAGACATATGCATGTCATTACAACATTTCACATCTTCTATATAGAAAGTTGACATACAACTGCTCTAGATAACTTTATAGCTGTTAAATAATTCTTAAAATAATAAAAATTTACAATTTATAATACAGCACGTTTGTAACGCTTATTTTCATTGGACAATCGTGACGTTTATATAACCTATACACACACGCATGCAGTTGATTTATGAATTTCTTTCATTTGTTTCCTAATAACTGAAAATTGCAATATCATAAATTCACTATAAAGATTCTTAGCAGGTTATAAGGCCGTATAAAATAGATTATTTGCCTCATGGTTCTGGTAATTTAACAACCAACCTTTTAATTTTTACAACATAACATGTCATATATGACATACTACCGCTCCATATTATCTAAAATATAACAAAAACAATGGTGTCACTGCGGATGACGGCCGTTAGCCACAGTGAATTCACCAGACCACAGTCCAGCCACTGCATCGTTCCTGGGCAGGCTGTCCAGTAGTTAACCAGTACTAGTTGTCTTCTGTTTCGCAAGGAACTGATAACTTCTGAGAGGTACAGTGCGAATGACCGTAAAAAGGATTTCATGACCAATCACAACGTATGTTAACTGCGCCGTCCGGGAATCGAACCCGGGTCGCCGTTTATATGAATTAACATGAATAACGAACTATCGGACCAACAGCTGAAATCATTGAAATTCATTGTATTGCCTAAATATCTGATTTTTGTGTAACAGAAAAGGAAGAATGTCATATAAATAATGTTAAACACCATACTTATATCCCTGCACACATATGAACCTCCTGTTTGATAACATCTTGGTTGCTTCCACATTCATTTGAGCTACAATTTCCAACCAACGTCTGTAAATATAACATTATTAACCTTCATTGCAAAAAAAAAATCAGGAAAAAATGTGATCCCTCGAAATTTAATCACAACAAAATTTAAAGAAAAATAATTACATGAAAATTGCCAACCCATCCCGCATCATTTGTTTAAACGTTTGTTTTAATGGATAGCAAAACCAAAACATCAGATGGAAACATCAATAAATAAATAAATAAAAAAAAAAAAAAAAAAATAAATACAGAATAATATCTTGATAATAATAATAATTATAAAACACTAACAGTTCGATGTTTTATATGTAACCTGTTGAAAAAGTTACAATGCATTAAATTAAAAATTATAATATGTAATATTTTTTTAGTACTAACAATTGACCACTCATTGATATCTGAGAAAATTGACCCCTCCTTGGTTTCAAACTCTAGTGGGTCAACAGACGACATATCAACATCATTCAGTTTGCACGTCTTTTGCCATGTGTTATAATCGATAGATTTACATACTGTCACTGACATACATGTTCGAGAGCACTCATGATGATTTACACCAGCCATGTCCAGCACAGAATGACCAATTAATGCTACATTTAAATTGTCCTTGCTTATTTCAAATGGTGTACACGTGCTTGAGTACACTGGTTCAAAAGAAACTACAAGAATAATCGCTGTTACGTATATCATATTCCCTGTGAACATAAATTTGAATTCAAATCGTTTTGCCGACACATAGAAACTAAATGAGTATATTTAACACATCTAAGCATACAACCATACCAACAATGTTAAGTGTTGCTTGAATAAGTTATGATCACGTGCATAGCTCGGTTATGACTTGTCATACACCATTAAACGTTTAAAATTATTTTTTAATAAATTTTGTAATTAAGTTTTAATTGTTAAATTATTGCTTTTGTTATAAATAATTTGCAAATTGGAATTGGAGTTTCGAACACGAATTGTTTTATACGCATTAACAATAATTGATAATCAAACATAACGGTATCGGAGCAGAGTAAAAGATGATAACGTTTCCAACAATATGTCTTATTCAGGCAACCATAAAAAATGTAAATACAGGAACATAATACTAATATGTAAAGTATTTTAGCAAAACAAAATACAACCAATCGGCTCAATGATAAACACTTCATTCACTCACTCACTCACTCACGCACCCGCTCGCTCGCTCACTCACTAATACTGAATAGACTTTTACTTATTATGCCCGTTAAATGGGTATTGCGTAATAACCTTCACTTTTTGAAGTCCATATACAACAGTATACTTATTTCTAAGTTCGTCCTGTTGTGTATATTCTAATTCTTAAGTATTTTTTATGTCATTCTATCATGTGACATTAACAAATCATAGCTTTAACCTGTGATAAATGATGGGAGATGAGGTATGTCTCATTATCCCTTTATCATAGAAATATTGCCGACCGCAAGGAATGCGTAAACTTCTCAAACTGATGGTTTATTGTTCTCAATAGATGTCATCTTCTTTAGAAATGGATAATTGTGACGGCTGTAAACATTTTATGTACCATGATCAATTTACTTTTTATTCAAGTTGATGGCAATATGTACTCTTAATGTTTGAAATGGGAATAATTGAATTTCCAAGCACCAATATCCTGTAATTAGGACATTTATTAAGTATGATGTACATATTTATACATGCTACATGTTAATAAGAGATTTTGCTGTACAGACATAACTAGAAATGTGTCCATAGGACACGGATGCGCCCACACGCCACTGTTCTGACAATCTTATGACTCTAGGTCAAATATTTTTTGAACTACATGTGCCAAAAGTTGAAAACTAAAAGTCAACAAAGGGCCATGGTTTTGTTAAATTTGGTCGCCGCAAAAAATTCCTTCCTCTACTACCATCTACACATAAGGGTTCTAAATCCCTGGAAGTTTAAG